TTTGAATTATAATCCACAATGCGCTTTGACTCTAACCATTTTCCCTACTGCCTCCCATTTATTTATTTATTTATTTTATTTGTTTAAATTTCTATACTGCCCTTCTCCAAATAGGACTCAGGGCGGTGCACAGCCTAAGTAAAAACAAAGCATACAAAATTTAAAAAACAGTATTAAAATAATTAAATATTCTGGCCGTAAATTAAAACAACCCAATTTAAAATCAATTTAAAATTTAGCTCAAGCCAGCCCAGCTAGTTGAAATAAATAGGTTTTCAGGGCCCGACGAAAAATCCGGAGGTCTGTTATTATACGTAACTCTGGGGGAAGGTTATTCCAGAGGGTGGGCGCCGTCACAGAGAAGGCTCTCCCCCTGGGGGTCGCCAGCCGACATTGTCTGGCGGACGGCACCCTGAGGAGGCCCACCCTGTGCGAGCGTACTGGCCGGTGGGAGGCTATTGGTGGCGGAAGGCGGTCTCGTAAGTACCCCGGCCCTAAGCCATGGAGCGCTTTAAAGGTGGTCACCAACACCTTGAAGCGCACCCGGAAGACCACCGGGAGCCAGTGCAGCTCGCGCAGGAGAGGTGTCACATGGGAGCGCCTCATCGCCCCCATAATCCCCCGCGCGGCCGCGTTCTGGACCAGCTGGAGCCTCCGGGTGCACCCCAGGGGGAGCCCCATGTAGAGAGCGTTGCAGTAGTCCAGGCGGGAAGTGACTAGTGCCTGAGTGACTGTGCGTAGAGAGTCCCGATCTAGAAAGGGGCGCAACTGGCGTATCAGGCAAACCTGATAAAAAGCCCCCCTGGCCACGGCCGTCAGATGGTCTTCTAGAGACAGCCGTGCGTCCAGGAGGACGCCCAAGTTGCGAGCCCTCTCTGTGGGGGCAAGTGATTCGCCCCCAATAGCCAGCGATGGCGTCAGCTGGCTATATCAGGACGCTGGAAGCCACAGCCACTCGGTCTTGGAGGGGTTGAGTCGGAGCCTGTTTCTCCCCATCCAGGCCCGCACGGCCTCCAGGCACTGGGACATCACTTCAAGGGCATCGTTGGGGTGGCCTGGGGTGGAGATGTACAGCTGGGTGTCATCAGCGTACTGATGGAACTCCACCCCGAAGCCACGGATGATCTCACCCAGCGGCTTTACATAAATGTTGAACAGAAGGGGCGAGAGGACCGACCCTTGTGGCACCCCACAAGCAAGGTGCCTCGGGGTCGACCGCTGCCCCCCCGTCAACACAGATTGCGACCGGTCAGAGAGGTAGGAGGAGAACCACCGCAGAACGGTGCCTCCCACCCCCAACCCCGCCAACCGGTGCAACATGATACCATGGTCGATGGTATCAAAAGCCGCTGAGAGGTCTAACAGGACCAGGATAGAGGAGCAACCCCTATCCCGAGCCCTCCAGAGATCATCCACCAACGCGACCAATGCCGTTTCCGTGCTGTGCCCAGGCCGGAAGCCGGACTGGAGCGGGTCTAGATAGACAGTTTCATCCAGGTATCGGGGAAGCTGTTGCGCTACCACACTCTCAACAACCTTCGCAACGAAGCGAAGGTTGGAGACTGGATGATAGTTAGCCAAAACAGCTGGATCCAGAGAGGGCTTCTTGAGGAGGGGCCTCACAACCGCTTCTTTCAAAGCGGCCGGCAGGACCCCCTCACTCAAAGAAGCGTTAACAATCTTCTGGAGCCAGCCTCGTGTCACCTCCCGGGAAGCCAGTACCAACCAGGAGGGACACGGGTCCAATAAACATGTGGTCGCGTTCAGCCGTCCCAGGACCCTGTCCATGTCCTCGGGAGCCACAGGATCGAACTCCCCCCAGATAACACTCTCAAGACCTGCCTCAGTCATCCCGTCTGGACATACCCAGTCATGATACTAATGATGGCTGATTTCAAATTCTGGCAAGGTTTTGAGCTGTATTTCAATGATAAATAAGATCAGAGACAGTATAGGAAAATTAAAGTTGGCACTTCTAATAGCATTGGTCTCTTTCTTTTTCTTTATTAACTTCAAAATACTTGTACTACTATTGATGACTGTATCTCCATCACTTAGTCTCCATGATTTACTTCTTCAAGTCCTCATTGGTTAAAGATGGGAGCATTTTAAAATCTTCACTATGTAAAAATATTCAGAAGAGGGCAATTCATTGGACCTATCAAAAAACTATTAGATCAGAGCAAGTCACAATGTGTCAGCTAGTCACAAAAATCTCCAATGAGAAATAAGAAAAGGAGAAGCTGCTAATATTAAAACTCTAGGCCAAAATGTAATAGATATTCTGTTAAGAGCAACATACTTCTTGATTTACTTCTGGCACTTATTTTATTTTTATTTATTTATTTATTTCATCAAGCATGTATTTTGTGACAGATACCAGTGTAAACATAATTATAAATACATGAAAAGGATACGAATTAAAGAAAACCTTAGGACAGGGAGGGTAGGCAGAAGTAACAGAACAAGGCATCTGATGTTAGCAGGAAGGAAAGGCAAACATCATAATGTGGACTCCTTGATACTCTCTGAGCTTGGTTGTTTTCTTGAAGACATTTCATTCCCCAGCTAGGTAACATCATCAGTGCTGCAAGAAAACAACCTAGCTCAGAACCCCTCACTTCAACCCTGAGTTTCTTTATTGGCAACATTATAATAATCCAATGTACCAAAATCCTAGGACCAGTGGGAACCAAGGTTGCTGACAGATTTATAGACCGCCAAACACATGGGGATAAATATGTTAAGCCATTCAATTCCCAAGGCCACAGAAAACATTCTAAAAGAGTATAACAATTTATCCCTGCAGATATGTGTTGTGAATAGAGTATTAGACAAAACTGAGCAAAGAAGATGATGCAACCTTGATAGTTAAATTCTATGAAGAATGCTTAAAAGAACTGGATATGTTTAGCCTAAAGAAGAGCAAGAGAAGGCTGGTATGATAGCAGTCTTCCAAAACTTGAAGGATTATCATAAGAAAGAGGATGTAGATTTCTTCTCTCTGTAGCTCCTGTGAGTAGGGCAAGAACCAGTGGGTGTAAATTTTACAGGACAAAGATCCAAATTTGAAATAAGGAGGAATTTTATGACCATAAGAGCTACTGTATGAAATTGTAGACGAGCCTGCCTCTTGGAGTTGCAGGGTCTCTGTCACTGAACTTTTTCAAGCAAAGATTGGGCAGTCAGTTGTCCAGGGTGGTATGCAGAAACCTGCTCTGAGTAGAGGGCTGGACTAAAACTCCCAGCCCTATGATTTGAAGAAATCACTGCAATCTGCATTCTGAGAGTTAAAACACACTTTTGATGAGTTCATTCTGAGACTGACCTCTAAAATTTGTGAAGAAAGGAGGGGGCAGAAGAGAATTATGTGCAATTTATGTTTCTTGCTCTCATTTGCAAGACATAGAGGAAAATGACAGGCCCCTTTCATAAGTGGGGCATATTCAGACAGGATAGCAATAGCAATAGCAATAGCACTTAGGCTTATGTGCTGCTTCACAGTGCTTTACAGTCCACTCTAAGCGGTTTACAGAGTCAGCATATTGCCCCCAATAATCTGGGTCCTCATTTTACTGACCTCAAGGATGGAAGGCTTGAGTCAGTGACAATTGAACTGATGAATTAATGGCAGCTGTCCATCAGCAGAAGTACCCTGCAATACTGCATTCTAACCACTGTGCCACCACGGCTCATATTCTTAAGCATTCTTAATATCTTATTGTTGTTATTTGCAAAGTCGTGTCTGACCCATCGTGACCCCATGGACAACGTTCCTCCAGGCCTTCCTGTCCTCTACCATCCCCCGGAGTCCATTTAATCTCATGCCAACTGTTTCAGTGACTCCATCCAGCCACCTCATTCTCTGTCGTCCCTTTCTTCTTTTGCCCTCAATCGTTCCCAGCATTTTGCCCTCAATCGTTCCAGTGAGTCCTTCCTTCTCATTAAGTGGCCAAAGTATTTGAGTTTCATCTTCAGGATCTGGCCTTCTAAAGAGCAGTCAGGGTTGATCTCCTCTAGGAATGACCAGTTTGATTGCCTTGCAGTCCGAGGGACTCGCAGGCGTCTTCTCCAGCACCATAGTTCAAAGGCCTCAATTCTTTGGCGCTCAGCCTTTCTTATGGTCCAACTTTCACAGCCATATATTGCAACTGGGAAAAACCACAGCTTTGATTATATCTTAATATCTGGAGAGGTTCTAAACAACTTTTAGGGCACTAAAATTTAAAATTTAATTACACCTTCATTAAAGTCAATCTTGAACATTTAAGAATAAAAAGTAAGCAGCAACCAAAACAGATTTGTTGAGCTGCTGTGTAAAAAAACAAACAAAAAACATGCCAATAGAAACTTTAAATCAGTATGTATTTAGTATGTAGATTTTGTATGTGGCTATGTGCATGTGGTTTTCTCCTGCAGGGCAACTTCAGTGTTTCAAAACCTAATCTGTGGTGACTTTACTTCACTGCTAAGCAAGTCCATATCCTGAAGGGATGGTCTCTGAGAAAACTTAAATACAGATCCTGGCAGATATAAAGAAGCTGAGGCATTTCTGAAGCGCTTTGACACTGGCAAGGAGTAAATACCAAGGGTCTAAGACAGAGACTTTAGGACAGAGGAGAGGGCACCCCTGCTCAGATGCAGAGCTAGTCTCCAATGAAAAAACGCAGAGCCTAATTTTCCTGGAAGGCTTGAGTGCTTTTCATTCTAGGAAAAGAAGCTCAGCCTCGCGCCCCCCACGCCACCGAAATACCCTTGGCCAGCGCTTTTGCTGACATTGACAGGACGCCTGCCGGTGTCTCTTTCGGCTCCGCCCTCGGCTTACGTCACGCTTCCTTTAGCCTTCTGGGAGTCGTAGTGCCTCTCCTCCGCGGAACGCCTGACACCGTCTCCTTGAAAAGACTACAGCTCCCAGGCAGCACCGGGAGGGAGGTGTGGGCGAAGGGGGCGGGCGCCGCGGAGTCGGTCGCGGGGCATAGGAGTACGAAAACGCAGCCGAGTCGGCAAATAAGGCGAGTGGAGGCTGTGGAGCAAAGCGCGCGTGGCCAGCGTTCTGTGACCGCCGGGCAGGCTATAACGCTGTGTTGGGAGGACGGGACGCTGCTTTCCCAACACCCCCACTCCCGCTGGGGGCGCGGAACGAGACGAAGGGTCATGCAGGCGGAATCGGGCATTGTGCCGGACTTCGAGGTGGGCGAGGAGTTCCACGAGGAGCCCAAGATCTACTATGAGCTGAAAAGTCAGCCGCTGAAAAACAGGTGCGCGCTCCTTTCCTGCCTCTTCCTCCTCCTCCCCCCCCCCCCCAAAAAAAAATCCACTGACTTTTTTCTGCCCTCCCCAAGCGTTCGCTTTAATCGATCCGGCAGGCTGGAGCGGGATCTCTCTTGCACCTTTTAATAACGCTAAGCCCCCTCCCTCCCCCAATCTTTTACCTTTTACCCAAGGTAGGTAAAATGAGGACCCGGATTGTGGGGGCAATAAGCTGACTTTGTATAAAAAAGAACACCGCTTAAAGGGGAGGGGGTTGCGAAAGCCCTACTAAGCAGGTATATACAAAAGTATGCTTAACGCATTGTAAGCCGCCCTGAGTCTCCGGAGAAGGGCAGCATATAAATCGAACCAATAAATAAATAAATAAATAAAATCCCCCCCCCCCAAGGACATAAAGCAGGTAAATCAGGACCTGGGGTGGGGGGACGGTGATGGATTCCTTTTTGCCAGCCACCCTTCTTTCTGTCTCTCTCCTCCCCCCCCCACTTGCCCCGACGGGCTTTTTGCCTCCTTTTCCCTCTCCCCGTCCTGCTGCCCCTTTCCTGGTCTCTCGGCACCTTCTCGCCTCCTCGCCCTCTTTCACTTTTGCACGGGAATTTCTCTCCCTTCCCTTCCCGCCCTCCCCCCCCCTTCGTCTTCACCCCCCGGCCCCCGGGGCCGTGGAGCTGTCCTCCCTCAAGGGGCTCACTCTTTCCCCCGGTTTCTTCCGTACCGCCCCGGGAAAAAGGGGGGAACTTGTTGCGGGGGGGGGGGGGGGGGGTCCGGTGTTTTGGTGGGGATGGAAAAAAAACAAACAAACAAATCAGCGCCCGCAGCGCAGGTGGCTTTGCCTTTGGCTCTTTTGATTTTGCTGACCGCCGCAGCTCCTGTAGCAAAAAAAATAAAAAAAATAAAATAAAAACCCTCTCCTAAAGCGAGTGGTTTGCTGTTCCGTCACCTCTCAAGTTTGTGTGGACTTTTGTTATTGTTTGGCTTTGCAAGGTGTGCGCGGATAGCGCGTGTGGGTTGTTGGCATGCTGGGGTAGAAGAGGGCCTGCCAATTTTCCCTGGGGCGATGGGGGGAGGGGTGTTTAGGAAGTGGGTATGGTAAAAGAGAGGGACCCCTCAGCTCCTGAACGCCCCCCCTCTTCCCAGTTCTCCACACACACACACACACACTCCTTACACCCAACAACGTGGGTTTATTCTTGCTTCTCCTTCAAACCAGTGACTCCCTCTGACAGCCGGTGGGTGGGGGGGCTAAGTGGAAAGAGGAGTGGGAGAGAGAAAAGAGGGAGGGCTGCAGAAGAATCCTGGATGTGTCTACTGGTGCTTTTCAGGCTATTTGTAACCAAAAACAAAAGCAAAACTTTTTTTTTTTTTTAATTTTAAGAAAAAAGATAATACAAATATTGAAAGGAAACAACCCCGGACTATAAAAGCAGCCATTTAGTGAGTGGTTCCTGTCATAATAGCAGTTTTGTTTAGTGTGTGTTTGGGCGAGGAAGGAGGGGCCAAGAGCTGTGGCTGGTATTATGTAAAGGGTATTGTTGGACCTCTCACCAGAGGCATTATCTGGCCTCTGCTGGGAGTTACAGATTTCCACTGATAGTTGCATGTATACTAAGCAATGCAGAGCGGAGAGAGAAAAACTCTTAGGTCTGTGTCTGCCTTGGACGGGCTGATCACATTTTGAATCACAAGGGTTGCTATACCATTGAATTGTTAGCCCAGTCACTTGTCTGAAATGGTATAGGGTCTCCTGATTTGAGCAGGGGGCTGGACTAGAAGACCTCCAAGGTCCCTTCCAGCTCGATTCTGACTGGTACAATAGTGGGAACCTACTTATTTTGCTTGGAACGATGCTATAGAGTTTGACGACTAAATAATTTTCTTGATCCCATGTATAGATTACACTGTTCAGAAATATTTATAGACACTAAATAGTTTTTTTTACCCCATGTATAGATCACATTGATCAGTATTCATACATAGCATGAAGTGACAATGCAAGATACAATAAAGGAGAGTGAGGCTGGATTCATATATTATACTAAGTCATTGTTTTTTGTTTATTATTGCAATTTTTATTCTCCCCTTCTACCCATAGGGTACTTGGGATGGCTAATAATATAACATAAAATATTAACAATTTAAAATGTATAAACATAGCTAAAGTTGTTGCTAATATGAAAGGATCTGGCTGAAGACACATCTCTTTCTTCTTAAATGACAGCTGGCTGGGTTTACACAGCACACAAGCTATTTAGTTTATAGTCTGCTTTTCTACTCAATTAAATACTCATGTCTCTAAAAAATTAAACGCATACATTAAAATTCATACTAAAATCAATTAACAACTATCGTAGTGGAGGAAATGAATCTTTGTAAATGCAGAAAGTGGGGGCCAAACTTAATTTCTGAAGTGTGTGGCATAGTTTGGAAAGAACTAGGTGAGCCAGATGTAACAGACCTCTGCCAATGGCAGCGAGTAAATAAATACAGATCTTTAAAAAGGCTTCTCTTGAAGGCCTAAATGGGTGGACTGGTTCACCATAATGAGGGAGGCAATCCTTCAGATCATCAGCCCTTAAGCTATTTAGATCATTAAAGTTCATTTATTTAACTACCGTAGGAGATGAGTAGGCTGAGCTAGAAGGCGGGGTTAAACGTGTCATCAGTTTGGAATCATTGCACAGCCACAAGAGATCCAAGTGCAGCTTCCCATGAATTCCATTGACTCTTATCTAGCTTTGACCATTAGTAGACCATATTCATGTGCATACGTAGCAATAATAAACTCTCCAGTGCTTTGAACTTAGTGAGTGTTCCTGGTTCTTTGTGCCAGACAACATAGTAATCTACCCATTGCATTTTGTACCAACAGATTTCATTTTCAAAGTTAGCCTCATTTAGTTACAGTAACCCAATACATGATGATAACTTGAAGACATAGACATAATCTGGTCCAGGTAAGGCAGCAACTGATATACCACTCTCAGCTGGTCAAAACCCCATTTGGCCAGCATTTCTACCTACTATTCAGGTAGGGGTTGTGAGTCCAAGAGGGCCCCAAGTTGTGGACCAGTTTCTTTATGGGAAGAACAATCCTTACACAGTTAATGCTAGCGCTATCTTGGAGCCACCATATTTCTAAACAAATAGTTACTCCCTCTTGCTGAGATAAAGTCAGAACTTCCTTCTACTCATCTATATCTTATCTCTGGTTTCACAGCTTCTCTGTTTCTGTAATGTCTGTAGGAATGATCTTTGGAGTCAGGAGAAAAAGCTGCTTGCCTAGACAACTGTTGTGGAAGAGAAGTATTTTCAGACTTCTAAGACTACCTTTGAGGTAGTCCTGGAATGAATACTAACACTGCCTTTATTATAAGGTTATAGGAACAGAATCTTGCAAGTCTGAAAGAGCTTCTTCCTTCCTTTTTTTTTACTTTTAAAAAAATACCAAAAGAGGGTTCATTTTGAGATTCTTCCTTTCCTTCTATTAGTTCATACACCTTTTGCATGATAGGGGCCTAGATATTGGCTCTTTGTCTTATCTACAAGGTCATCCTCACAGACCATTAAGATTCGTTCTAGGGCAGGAGTGTCAAACAGGCGGCCCATGGGCCAGATGCATCATGCGCAGGCCACACCCACCCCAGCTCCGCGAAGAGGAAAAAACATCACGAAATGTCATGTGATGGCAGTGTGACAAGTTTGACACCCGTGGCCTAGGGTGACAACATAAAGTTGAATATCATCAGTGTATATATGACACTTCACGCCAAACTGGGAGATGACCTCCCACAGTGACTTCATATAGATGTAGAAGAGAAACGGTTAGGGAGTGGTACCATTCGTCTTCCCATTAATACTGATCGGAAGCACCCATGGCTGCAGAATTCACTTTCCAGTCCTTACAGGCAGTCTGGAAGGATGCCATAGTTCAGTGTTGGTGAACCTTTTCGGCACCGAGTGCCAAAATGTGAGTGTGTGGGCACGCGCGGGAGCGGCAGAAACCGGAAGAGCAGCTCCCTGGTGCGCATGTGCATGCTGGGAAGCTGACCTTCCAGTTTCCACTGCATGCATGGTGCCAGCCACCTGCTGTTCCAGTTTCTGGTGCGCATGCATGCGCAAAGACCAGCTGGCCAGCATGCATGCACATACCAGAAATCAGAAGCTCAGCTTCCCGCGTGTGCTAATACCAGCTGGCCGCTGCACATACATGCGCCGGAACCCAGAATTGCAATGGGCGACGGCTGGCATGCACGGAGAAATGGCTCTGCGTGCCACTTCTGGCACACGTGCCATAAGTTCGCCATCACAGCCATAGTTGATGGTATCAAAAGCTAATGAGAAATATAATAGGGCCAAGAGGAATGCAGTCCCACCCATAAATTCATAGCTCATGGTTATCTATTAGAATGACCGCTTTCTTTTCATCCCACGCCCTGGTCTGTTAAGTACTGAACAGCAGCATATGACCAAGAAAAAGATTCATACATCTCACTAATCAGGCTAAATGCCAGGAAATCTTGGAAACAGTCCACCTTGATTACATTAAGATGAGATCTCTGTGAGTTGGTTGGAAGCTTGTATCTAACTTCCCTAAGTGATGGTCTTAGGCCTTGCTTAAGAAATAAGGATAGTCTGTTGTCTGCTTTGGCATGTTTTGAACAGCCTTTTCTTTTCCAACTTCCGAGAATGCCCTAATCAAATCCTTGCTGTTGAAATTAAAATAAATTACAAAGAGTACAGATAATCTGCTTCATCTCAAGATGAATCTTAATACTGACTTTGATTTGCGTCTGAGAATTTGTGTATGTTGATAGTACAAGACATGTAATCCCACTTTTCGCAATAGATAGCAGACTTCTTCCAGCATTTTGCTTCCAATGCAATATCTGAAATTTTCCCAAGGATTGACCCTGAACAGCAAGTGTAAGCTATCAAGGTATGGATACTTTTTACGAACTCCAATGATTTCAGGAAGAGTTGCTTCTACAGC